GATCATCTTACTGAAGCTAGAGGATAGAAAAACTGATGTGCAAAATTTCTGTCACAAAGAGTAATATCGCTAGTTTGCATTTTTGGCTAGCAATTTCTCTAAATCCAGATGAAATTTGGGAACAAGCTTGTCTTTTGACATCTCTTCCCAGATACAAAAGATAAGGCTTGAATCATACTTGTTACAGTTATTCAAAATTATCGAATTACCTCTTAGCATTTAAAGCATATCTTCTCATTTGCCAAAAGATGTGCCATGCAGTTTAGAGCTGTAAATCAATATAGGCAGTTGGTCTTTAATGGAATTCGGATTGTTGATGCTGAGATGTGCTCTGTTCCAGGATTTCAAGAATCAAGGTTTTCAGAGCAGTAGTAGAGAAGAAACCCAGAAGCTGTGGGTCCTTTTGGCATATCCTTTTGAAGGAACTGCCACCAGGAAGAGAGAGTGCTTTGTCTGTGGTCAGAATAAACTCTTTGTACACACAGACAATTAACTCTTCAAGTGACTTGCCAGGCTCTTTAAAGCCACTGCACTCCTCTTCTTGTCTATCTTGAGCTCTATTCAGACACTTAAGCACACCATTTTTGTTTTGTTTATTATTGCGAGGGGGAGTCCTTCACAGGAATAGCTGGAGCGGATCAACATTGTTCTCATGATGGCATTTATCTCCAGCCGGCAGTGAATGTGTCAAAAAGTCAAACAGAAGAGGCTTTGAATCGTGTCATCAGGGGTCGAAGTGACTTCCAGCTGCCTGCTCATGGGACATCCTTTCTTACACACCAAAGAATTGTGTTGTCTGTTGCAGAAGCACTCCCGCGAGCTGTATTGGTTCACAAGCCCTTTGAAGCAGTCCCCCACCTCCTTCCTTCTGGCACACCTGCAAGAAAGATATTGGGGGATGGGGGAAAGGGAGAATGGATGACTTTACTCCAGAAGCTCTAATTTCTATATGCATGATGATTCTTTAGGGCATATTGTTGCAATTAATATAGGCAGTATTTGTAGAGGACAACTATAATTTACTTCAGAGTTGTTCAATTCTTAGCTTTGAAGCTCATGACAATCTTGAATGTTGAAGCATTTGGATTTTAAACTTTTTCATGTTTAGAGCCTTTCTCTGACTCTCTTTAGGACTGAAATCATGTAGGCTTGACATCTATATAGCAAAGTGATATAACATAAAGCAGATCTCATTTATCTAAATGCTCATCGATACCTCTTTAGTAATCACACATCACTTTAATTTCCATATAACTAGCTAAATCCTGATTATATTTGCATTTTTAAAACATCATAAAAGTGGTCTGTTTCACATTTATTTGCAATCTAGGCACAAGAGTAAAGTGAAATAAAACCAGATGCATTTAACTTGAATTCATAAAGACTGAGCATCCTTTATCCAGAATTTTGAAATCCAAAATACAGTAGACCCTCAGTTAACCAGAACATAAACAAATAAAACTCTCAAGCAATCGGCAAAAAAAAATAAATCAAAGAAATAGTATTTTAAATAAAAGTTAAAATATATGTGTTAAAATATAAAACTGTGTTACATTAAGTTATGTTTGTCTATTTGTTTTTATTTGGTTTTAATTACTGTACTGCAATATTAGTACCAAATGAATACTAAGTTTATGGTATAGTATAGCATATAGTATTAGTTAGGCCTGCTTTAATAATAATTCTCAAGCAACGAGAAACTACATTTATCTGGCATCTACCAATCCCAATGGGTGCCAGTTAACTGTTAGCCTACTATACTCCAAAATCTGAAATTGCACACCTGTGTTATCATGATAGAGACATCTTTGATTTCTGGTGGTTCAGTATACATAAACTTGGTTACATGCCCAAAATTATGAAATATATTTGGTGTAAAATTACCTTGAGGCTATGTGTTTAAGGCAGAGTTTCTCAAACCGTTCTCGAGATGTTTTGGACTTTGACTCCCACAATTCCTAATAGCTGGTAAGCTGGCTGGGATTTCTGGGAGCTGAAGTCCAAAACACCTGGAGGAGCATAGTTTGTGATACACTGGTCTAAGTTGTTATGAACATAGATGAATTTTGTGCTGTATATGCTATGTATGTAAATATGGGTGTTAAAAAAATAAATCTAAAATCCAAAACATTTTAAGTTCCAAGCATTTTGAATAAGGATACTGAACCTGTATAATTTATAGCAGGTAGTTTCAGGTCGATTCTGCAACTGTTTCTGCATCATTTGGTTTTCTTCAGAACACACTAAAAAATAAAAATGAAGGGTTAGAGTGATATAACCAGCAGAAAACTTGTGCCTCATTTTAGTTATTTACATATTTATTTATCACCTCTTAACCCATTGCGTTCCCTGAGGCAACACACAACAGAAAGATGTTAGTGCAAACTGAAGCATATGTCCCTCGCTTCTCAGCTATTCAGGGCTTCTGAGCTTGATGCATCACAGGTAAATAGATTTTAAACAAAAAATTGCAAAAACATTTGTACAGATGAAAAACTATTTCATGATTATATTCCAATTTTTTCACTTTTTTCAATGAGCATTGTGTGTTGTCATGATGTTTATATTTTCTCTTCTGTATACAACACTTTAGGTTCTGCACAGATCATTTGTAGTACTTTGGTTTCTTAATAGACCAGTTTCATATATCATGAGATACTTGTCATGTATACTCAAACTGATCCACTTAACAATCCAAAGTACTACATGTGACCCATGCAGAACTAAAAGTCTGTTTTATTCAAGCCAAGATAATTCAACATGCCATCAAAACAAAAGCTGGAAATGATAGTTATTATGGTTGTGGCACTACAACTAGGAAGCACAATCAAAATATTCAAAAGCTCTGCAGTGATACTTCCTTGGAATTATTGAATCAGGGCATATGTGTGTCATGTGTACATTGCTATATTGTGGCTAAAATATGTGATTGTCCTAACCATATTCAATAATAGTTGGTTCATAGAACCCTGCAAAAGATATATTTCCATTTCATTAATATAGAGGAAAAAGTTCATCTGAATGGTTTTCGAAGTTATGAAGCAGACAATTATAAGGTTTGTGAATAGCAACACTACAGGACTGAAACGATCTTGGTTCTGTTCTTCTACTCAGTATCTGTTTTCTATCTGGAATTAATGTGCCAACTTTACTGTGGAGAAGGTTGGTTTCATTGAAGCCCTCTTTGAATGGAAATCTTCAGAAACTTTCAGGAATGCATTGAAATATTTTTTCCTCAAAACACTGGCCAATGTAGCTGATTTCATTAGGGCTTATATGCAGTTGACTTTCATTGTATGTGCAAAATTCATCTTATTAGTCAATTGGTTAATTGGTTTTTGTTTCTCACTTGTCAAATCGTGCACCCTGCTGTATGTTTATAGCACAATAAAATACTGTTAGAACACTTCCATCATATTTTATCATTGATCTCCTATCTATTCTTTTAATGGAGAATTCTACATGTTGAATAAAGCAATGATGTGACTTCTCCCATTTCTGGGAACAACAGCAAAAAAAAAAAAAAAAAAAAAGACAAGAAAAAGAAATATTTTTAGGATTACTACATCTGGAAATTGAACATTGCAAATTACTGGACTTAATTCCTGTTTTAAGTACTGCATAACATTTCAACATTATTCTACAATGGTTTTGTAACTGAGATTTTCTTTCTATATATCTTGTGGTAGGGCATGAGGACACAGAGCATGTGACAAGGTATTTAAAGCCACATCTACTGTATTTATGCAGTAAATTCTACCAAACCCATATTATGACATTGGAATTTATGTTTCATGGCCTACTGAGCTGGACAATCATTGCCTGAACCCTCCTGCCCCATGATAATTCTTCCATTTTTACTGTACATAAGACAAAGGAGGACAAAAAATGGCAGTTCTAGAGGGAATTTGAAATCTGGAACAAAACATAGATACAAATGTTTATGACCTGGAATCCTCTGCATAGTGGGATAACCAGGCTTTAATTCTAGGCATCTGTGGACTGGAGCACCACCAGGGCATGACCCGGCACCCATTTGCTCTATGATATGGCCAGATTTCAACAAAGACTATTTTTCTAAATTGATTTAATTTGTTTGGGATTTTACTTGGTTCAAGCTTTTATTAGACATATTTCACTGTTATCTTTGGACGTAGAAAATTTCTGAACAAGGGAGGGCAATATGATCCTATTTCTTCTCAAGATTCTTCTGTTACAGCTATGTTGGTATTAGAGATCTGCCAATGTAAACAATATAAATAATATACTGTAGTCATGATTGTGATCTAATTTCTTTGCAGTTAATTGTGATGCCAGAATCCCTGCTGATAGGTTTCAGAAAATTAAGATTTTTCAAACAAAGGGAATACTTGGAAGGCCTATTACTTTGCAAACATTCTTGGATCCAGTTTCTTTCCTCATTATTTACATGGTAGCCTTTTGCTCAGCTTCCATGAGTTCAGTTTATAATGCAGTGGGCTGTAAATGGACCTGTCAGTGGACAAACACTTCTTGAGATCGTGACACTGCATTCCTCCAAAGCTTCAAGATGTGAATTATGCCACATGGCACTGTGGTCTCCAGATTGATAAAACAAAATGAAACAAAAACATAATTACCATATTCAAACTAGCTTTCAACTAGGAGGACCATACTGTATGAGATATGCTCATTTGCTATGAAATGCAGTTATTCCTTCCACCCAGGTGCTCCATCCACTTACACTTCAACAATAAATCAGGGAAGGGAGAATGTTCTTGGGTTTTGGTGTGATGATTATGAAAGCTGTCAAAAACCTAATTCTAAGAATTATTGTAATGTTTTGAGTATGTTGTTTATGTCTAAGCAAAACTCATTATTTATATTTTATTATACCTTCTGGTTCTTGTCTGTCTCTTTCTATGTGTTACCTTCTTTCTGATGGACTTGGCCGGGCCATGTAAACCCCCAATCATTCAAAAGTACTGGAGAGTAGATAGTATTTACCTCAATAATGGTAGTTTCTTTTCGATTCTTTTTAACTCTCAATTCAGATGATGGTTCAAAACCAACACCTACCATGGAGACCCAACCTGTTTTTGATGGAGAAGGTAAGAAAGTACCTTTGATTTTTCCCTTTTTATCTTAATTTATGTTACTATTTATTCATTTAAAACATTTATTAATTAATCACTTTTTGTCTATTATGACTTTCAAACAGACAATGATATTCCGTTTAAAAAACTACTTTGTGGGTAATTTAACCTGAAAAACATTATCAAATACAAGGATCATCTTCTACAATTTTGGGCTATAGGCTACCAATAGAATATCTTGTAACTTGTTTAATAAAATATTAAATTATTGAATGTATTGATCTTTATGGAACACACAATAATAATAATAATAATCATCATCATCATCCTCATCATCATCATCATCTCTATTTATAACCCACCCTCTCTTCCTGAAGGGAATCAGGGTGGTTTCCAAAAAATAACACAGATGACAAACATTCAACTTATTTTAGGTTAATGATAAAATATCAAAACACACAATCCAATTTTATTGGGGAGGTTGACTTAATGACATGAACCGGAACTATATGGCAGAACAATGAGATTATCATTTACTATGTAAAGATCTGGAATCTGCTGTTCTTACCATACAATCATAATCCACATTCATTTATTTTGAGTGACCCTTAGTGTCAGTGTATAGAATCACAGAATTAGAAAGGACTGTAAGGGCCATCCAGTCACACCACAAGACAGCACAGAAACAAGAGTACACATGGTAGTTGTAAAATAAGGAGAATTACCATTGCATTAGTTTCATTAGCCAGATTATAAAGATGTATGACAGTATGCTTCTGGTGCTAAAGTAGTTATTAAAACAGTTTTGCTTTTAGACACTCTAGCTCAGGCATCCTCAAACTGCAGCCCTCCAGCTGTTTGGGCCCCCAACTCCCAGAAGCCCTAATGAGCTTGTTCAATTGTCAGGAATTCTGGTAGTTGAAGGCCCAAACAGCTGGAGGGCCACAGTTTGAGGATGCCTGCTCTAGCTGAAGGGTGAACTGCATCTCTTCTCATTTCCACCATTAATTATGCTGACGAGGACCAATGGGAGGTACAATCTAACAATGTGTGGATGGGCACATGCTTTCCATCCTTGTTTTAGTGTTTTGATGTCTCTATTGATCAAAAAAAAAAAACACCAGTCTTACAAAATTACTTGGGGCAGCTGTTCAGGTTGAGATTGCTGGAGTGCACATTCAAACCTTGCTGACTTAAATGACTATGATGCATCTTCTCAAGTTGTATAGGAAGTTGCCTGTGAAATAGGAACAGCTAACTTCACTATGTTGGTTTGGGATTAACCAGCTTTAAAACTTGACATGTAGCTAAGTGGGTCCCTGAAATAAAGTTTTCAGTATGCATTTGATGGTTGAACATATTTGTTGAGCTGAAGATTTTCTAAGGTGACCCATTTTTCAAAAAGAAGCTATTGTTGTTCAGCCAGCCCATGCGAACAGAATTAACAGGTAGAATAACTTATCTAAACTCGTTCTGCAGTATCTATACTACCATTATATATGCAGCTTTATTATTATTGTCATCACATTTTGGGCTTGTTTTCTCAAAGTAACACCTACTGAACCCCAAGGCATTTGTTATTGTCATACATTCTTGAAAGATTGTGCTGGAGTGTCTTGCTTCTGAGATTGCATGAGTTTCAATGTTGGGAAATAATCCAAATTCCATGACTTGTTGTGCTGTGCTTTTAATAATTGCTCCCTGCTTTTAATAACCAACCTTCCCCAATCTGGTCTCCTCCAGATGTGTATAGCTCCTATCATCCCCATCCCTGAGAAGGACCAAATACTAATATTTTACTTTTCACTCTGGAGAACTACAAAGTGTTTTGATATTAGGATTTTACTCTGTTTCTCTGCCTAGTACTTTTCATAACTTAAAAAAAAGTAAAGCAAAGATTCCATCATATGATATCTTTGACTTTCCACTGTCCTTGACAAAGCAGGGAGATTAGTCCAGTTTTTTTTTTACATCAGTCAAGGAATCCTTGAAAGATCCCATTCTGAGATTTTTCTCCCTTTCTTTTTAAAAAACTTTGGTATTTATTTATTTATTGTGTCAGAAGTGATCTGAAGGTACAGTTATAATGTGTTTAAAAACACAAAGTTAAAATCTTGGCATTATATTAAATGTCCTTTGACCAAAAGCTAGCCACTTGGTGTGCCTCGGGTGTCGCTGTAAGAAGATCCTCCATCATGCATGTGGCAGGGCTCAGATTGCATTGTAATAAGTGCTCTGTGGTTTGCTCGTCTCCACACTTGCATGTTGTGGATTCCACTTCAAGGCCCCATTTCTTAAGGTTGGCTGTGCATCTCGTGGTACCGGAGCGCAGCCTGTTCAGCAGCTTCCAAGTCGCCCAGTCTTTTGTGTACCCAGGAGGGAGTCTCTCATCTGGTATTAGCCATTAATTGAGGTTCTGGGTTTTGGCCTGCCACTTTTGGTCTCTTGTTTGCTGGGGTGTTCCTGAGAGTATCTCTGTAGATCTTTGATGACATTGGGCCTTACTAGGCAGCACCCCTTGCTGCCTAGACATCTTTATTTGGCATCTTTTTTATGTTCTTCAGGGTTTTTTTCGACAGAAATCCAGATGCATTTTTCCCTTGTCATTTGTCTTTGAACAACTAAAACGTGAATGGATTTCTCTTCTTCAAGGGAAGCAAAATAGTGCTGAGACCAAGGACAAGAAATGTAGTTGTTCACTGCCATCAAGTTGATTTTGACTATTAACAAGAGACATTTAAATGAACCCTATCATCAAATCTGATCTTGCAGACTCAGCACTGTGGCTTCCTTGATTGAGTCTATCCATCTATAATGAGAGCTTCCTCTTTCCTAACTACCTTCTGCCTTACAAAAGAGTTAGAACTTCTTTCAGAAAAGTTTATTAATAAAAATGACATTCTGTTTAACATGTAAATTCGTGAACATGCATTATTCTTAAGATGCCTGTCTTTACTTTCCAGAAATCACAGCTCCCACACTTTGGATTAAGCACTTGGTCATCAAGGATTCCAAACTGAACAGCTCTAGTATGAAAAATTCAGGTAATGCTTGAACTGGAAAAAGGAGAAAGATATTGAAACAAAATAGTTAAGCTAAACTTCATTTTATACCACTTAGTTATTTTTATTAGTTTTTATTATTACAATTACTTTTGAGCTGAAGTCACTGCTGGCACAGTACTACCCTGTTCCATTTTAAAATACATATATAAATAATATTTAGCTTTTACTTCCTATTCTTTCTATAGGTTTTCTACCATTAGCTTTTATGATCTGATTTAGTTAAAGGATTCCTTTTCATGCAGACAGAAAAGCTGCCAGGTTACATGTGATGGACAGTTGACTTGGCTTAGCTAAACTAAACTATATGCTGAGCATGTTAAACCTATACTCAGTAATTTCCATTTATTATGAGATAAGATCATGTTTAAGCCCTCAGCATTCTTTATGTGACTTCATTCCTGATTCTGCTGGTAAAGTGATTCTTGGATGTGTGACAAAGAGAAACTCACAGTTCTAGGAGTCGGATTAAGAATAAAAATAGTAAAAACCTTTGTTATATAAAGTAATTTTGCATTTGGCAGAGAAGTTTTAGTTAGACTACACAGAAAAACTATTGAAATCCACAAGCATGTGGACAATTTCAACAGAAAGGAGGAAACCAAAATGAACAAAATCTGGTTACCAGTATTTTTTTTAAAAACTACCAGAATCAGGACAATAAATAAAGAACACTACCCAGAAACAGGGGAATAAAAGACATCAAACAATCAAGTGCCAGTTAACACCTCCCAAACAAAGGATGTCCCTAGACAGCAACAGCCAGACTTTGCAGCTGCAAGGCTACTCAATGCTAATCAAGCTGGCTAATTGAAACATTCACACTTGCTTCAAACAGACAAGGGTTCTTTCTCCCACCCTGAACTTTACACGGACAGACAGACAGACAGATAGATACTTCACTTGCCTTATTCCCACAGACCTCTGAACAAACGTCTGGGGATGCCTACCATATATACAGGTGAAACGCCAGGAGAGAGTGCTACTGGAATATGGCCATACAGCCCGAAAAACTCACAGCAACCCAAGCTTTAGTTTCCTGTTGGATTTCATCATTTTTTTTCTTTTTCAAACAAAGTAGTTATTTTTGTAGCTGAAAGTCAACTTCTACTTTTTGTGTTTGTTTCTTCTATCTCTGCAGGGAAAAACTAGATCTCGATTTATTTTGCCGTTCTTTTTCAGGAGTTTCATAGAATAATAGGTATTTTTGGTACATAATATATCCACTCACATTTGCCATATTCCTCAAAGGAAATGACGGTTTGTTTCTAACAGTTTGAAGTCTTGCTTTTGCACCGTATTACTTGAAGTTTCCCAATGCAGTCAACAGCAGAGAGATTTGCCAGGCAGCGTGGTGAATCCGGGGCAGTGGGGGTATCCGTTGCTCTGTGCCCTGCATCGCCACCTTCACCATTCAGCCCCCCCCCCCCCGCTGCACTTACCCCTTTCCTGGCAACGATAAGCTGGGAAATCTCCTTTGTTCTCATTGCTCTGCACTTTAACCACAGTTTGGGGACAGAGCCCCGCTGGAAGTAACTCTATGTCATTTGATGGGATCCGTTGGGCTCCATCCCCGAACTGTGGTGAAAGTGTCATAGGTAAATTTGCCCATATGATGAAGTCCTAAATCATCTGAATATAAAATACTGATCCTTCTTTTTGAGTTTCCAGTCAATCATAATATAAAATATGTTCCACACATTTGCACTGTGACATCCATTATTGTTATACATGATTGGACTAGACTCAACTGTCATCTCATGAATCCTATTTCTTGGCAAAGTAAGATCTTGCAGGGAGTGCCTCACCTTGGGAAAATGAGCATTGCTCTCTTATTCTATTCTTAGCAGAATGGTCAACTCTGGCCATCTGTTGGAGGTGCTTTGATTGTGCTTGTCCTGCATGGCAGGGAGTTGGATGGTCCATGTGGTCTCTTCCAACTCTATGATTCTATGAACACTTGAAATTTAACATGTTGATGTCAGAATTCAGGATGGATCTTTCTGTTCCAATAGACACTTTATCACATTGCAAGGTTCCAGGGGCATTGAGCAATCATACACAGTTATTCTTCCTATTCTTTAAATTATTATATGGGAAGTAAAATGCAAGGAGTAGGGGCTGAAATGGTAGTGGTCTGATCAGGAGTTCTGTTAGTTTCTCAATTCCCTGAAGTGTAGGAGTTACTTTTTGGTCACATCTAATTTAAAAGCCAAAATATGAAAAGGTTGTGCTGTTCTAGATGAAATAAAATCTCAGGAAAAACACATATTTAGCAAGGGCTGCTTTGCTTCCAAGTCTTTGCCCTGATCTTTTCTACTATGAAATGATTTGGTTTTGGGTAAAGAGATGCTCCAACCATGTAGTCATTCTACACTGTCAACCTTTTAAGAAAACCACAAGGTGATGTAATGAGTGGATAGATGGAAATATAAACAGTTCTGGGAAAGCCAGCAGTTGAAGTCAAGTAAATACAGTGAGTAGAAGTTTGTACATGACGTTATTTGAAAAGAGGAATGAGTAATCTATTAACAGCTGAAGCAGACTTGTATGTGTTTGTCTTTTTCAACAACAACAAAATCAACCGAGCCTTGGTGTTTGTTTCTAAAAACTCTCTCTTGGATTTATGCCAACACTGTAGCACTTGCCTGCAATCTGTCATGGTACCCAGAAATTATCTGGACACCTTCAACAGGTGGAGAATTTTCATTATAATGTGAAATAAGTGCACATTCAAGTATTATCTTTAGGTTTCTTTCCTTAGAATTCAACTTTATGGCTCTATATGTAGAGCAGTGGTTTACAACCTTTTTTTGACCAGGGATCACTTGACCAGGAGCCACTTTTCAACATTAGTACCAAAAGGGTTACAAATCAGTTTTTGGTCAACTTTAGATTTGAGGTCCAGATTGAGAAGATTGCATTGGATAGATCACATCAGCTCTAGTTTCTGATATAGAACATATGGCATCCAGTGGTCACCATCTGCTTGCCCACAGAAAACCATATGAAATAACCCTTAGCACTGTAAGAGGGTTTTGTGAGACCAGTTGCTCTTGTTGCAACAATATAGTAACGGTGAGGCTAGAGACGATATTTTAGTTCTTTCAAACCACCTGTGATCCAATGACCACAGGTTGGGAATTACTGATGTAGAGATTCAAAATGTTCAGCCACTTTGCATTTTTTTATTGTCAGATGTGTCTGCCTAAGAATACTGAAGAAAGATTCACAGGATGCCATTATTTATGAAACTCTATGTAGGAGAACCAGTTTAAGAACAGCCTTTCCCAACCTGGTGTCACCTAGATGTTGAACTACAGCTTCCATCTGGGATGGCAAAAGAAGTTGCTCAAAATACTCGTACACTGCTAGGTTGAAGAAAAGCCACACTAAATTATTTGTTTCTATGTTATATTCCAGAATTGCATTTTCCCATGCCCTTTTCAGTTACTCCCCAAAACTGCATTGTTAAATCAAACTCGTTCCATCCAAGAAGTTGGCATATGAAAAGAAGAAATGTAAGTTTATGGGCATTATATGCTTGAGCTTGGTGAATGAGACTGAGTAATCTTTACTCTGGTTTTCCAGATGGAAGATATTAGGCTTGGGTAACAACGGAAAAATTTGTTTCTAAACTCTTTTCGTTTTTAGGGGTCCATCGCGTTTTTTTTTTTTTAAGAATTCCGAAATTTTCCTTTTAAAAATTTCGAAATTTACGAAATTTCGTATAATTACGAATCGATTCGTTAATGGCAGACGCGATTGCGCAATATGCTAAAAAAACCTCCAAATGGGACAGGAGGAACTTCTGAAGCTTCCCTCTCCCTCTGTTGTTGACTGTTGGTGTGATAAAACAAACAACAACTATAAAACTTGCACCAGACATGTGAAAATAATTACGAAATAATTACAAAATAATTACAAAATAATTACGAAATAAATTGAAAAAAATGTTTTGAATCTAATTTACTCCTCACACTATTCCTGCATGGCTCAATATTGGATCGTAAGCTAATTTAAATACGAATTCATAACGAATTACGAAATTAATGAACGAAACCGCCCAAGCCTAGAAGATATGGGTGACCCTGGTTATAGTTAATTATTTTGATGCAAATTTATTGGTATGCCCAATCAAAAACAAAGACAAAAACAAAAACAAAAAAACCCCCACAAGGCACCCTTTAAGGTGGGAAGGATTCAGAAAGCAATGAGGTCTTCTAGGAGAAAGACAACATTATAGTTAATCTGGAGTCTCCAAGATTAAGCAAGTACTGAGTCATCATGAAAGACCCATGATTTAGCAAGAAGTTACTCTGTATTTTTAAAAGTTAAGAAAAGGTCACGGATATGATTTGTTTTATCAAGCAATTTGCTGAATAAATTATAGTAGTTCTTTCCAGATTAACTCCTTTAGTGCAGCTAGTTAAAGGCTGAGCAGCCGAGGTAACAATTATCTGTACAAGTGGAATGGCTTTTCTGTTCATTTTCTTAGAACAGTTTGCTTTTGTTTCAGTGTGTGTGTGTGTATGTGTGTGTGTGAGGTGGGGGACTGAGCGCCACAAGGGAGGACACATTGAAGCTTATGTATGGTGAACCTCATGGGGAGCCAGCACACCAAAGGGCTACATGCTTGCAAAGCGCTCCCAGGCTCTTTTTAAAATCTAGCACAGCTAACATATTGGTGAAGTTCCATACAGCTTTTAAGAAAATAAAGCAAGTGAGAGCATACGTACATGGAGCTCCAAGCCATTAGAATGGGACCTCTTTCCCATCAAAGAGGTTATACTCTATTCCTAGACCTCAAATAGATTCCCTGTTAGAGCAGTTTCATTACTAGGGCTTGAAATTTGCATCTGTATCCCCCCCCCGGCCACTGACACAAAATAAAAAGACCCACACAAAAATAAAATAAAAAGAGGAACAGGACTGAAATCTTGAAGAACAGTAGTCAATGAAGTCCAAAGATAGGGAACAAA